CGGCTTCCACCACAAGAAGGGCTGCCAGGTGAGAAGGGTTCGCGCCCGCCCGCTGGGCCGCGCGCCGCCTGCCCGCGGCCTCGCCCCTGCACTTGGTTTCCAGCTGCTCTCTCCCCGCGCCCCGGCCCCCGCGCCCCGTCCTTTCTTCGCAGCCGGAAGATTGTATTGTGAGCGCGGTGTGCGGGGATTGGTAGTTTGTTTTTTAATTCTCCTTTGATGAAGCAGGAAGAAAGTATCGAAGATCGGCGACGGTCGTTCTCTTCGCTGTCTCCACTAGGTTTTTGGGGTGTTCACTTACTACGGGACCCTGTAGACAAATTTCCGCCAATGGACCCCATTTCCCAAGGAATGAGCTCTTTAGGCTTCCTTACCAACGACCTCAGGTTGATTGAAGCATTTGTAAGCGTTCTAGGGAAATCGATCAGACGTATGTACTGTGATCTTAAGGATTTACATTTGTCAATTGACGCTGCCCCTCCCACTTATTGAGTCTTAGTTGTGCGATCTAATCTCTTCCAGATCTTCCCTTTGGCCAAGAGATTGGCATCTCCAGGATCCGTTGCCATAAGGGAATGTGTATTTGTCCAACATCAAATGTGCGAAGTCGGTGTTGGTTTTTTTATTGTTTGTTTTTAAGGCGGTTCGCTGTTGGTGGAATACAGCATTTGAAATGGTGAACAAGAACAATGGAACATTTGCAACCTATATCTTGAAGGCAAAGGAACAAAATAGGAGCAGATTATTCAATTAGAGGGCCGATACCACAAAGCAATGATGTCATAATGTCTAGTAAACAAATTGAAATGCTTTTTTTCAAGTATTGAAAAGAATGTTTGCATTTTGCATACAGGTGAGGCAGCATCTGTTTCCTTGTATTACACACACACACACACACACACACACACACACACACGACACACTTTAGGAGACTTATTGAGGAATGTTAAGTTCTTTAGAGAACAGAAAGAAAAGTGCTAAAGGGAGTGAAAAGATGGTTATATTTGTGTTTTAAAGACTGAGGGACTTGAAAATGTTCCGTATTCCATGTCTCTTGTAAAAATGCTTGAGAAAGGTATTGTTCTGGATTGAATATTGTCCCACACTCACACACAAAAATAAGTTCTGTAAAGCCAACTCTCTGTCTGAGGTTATAATCTCATTTGGGAATGGGTTTGTTTTTGTTACGTTGTTGCTGCAGGATTAGTGTAGGGTGTACCATGACTCAAACCCTTTAGAGACAGAGATTGCGTCTTTTGAGATAGAGAGAGAGCATGCTAGCAGAGATGTGGGAAGAGAGAAGGATGCCGAGCCATATGATGACGACCCAGGAACAGACACTCAGAGGAGCCCACAGAGAGAAAGCCTTCAGGCAGAGCCACCACCTCAAATTTGAGCGTCTAGCCTTCAAAACTGTGAGAAACTAGATTTCTGTTTGTTAAAGCCCCTGGCTTGTGGTATTTGACTTATATCAGCACTCGATAACGAAGACAGATAACTAAGACAGATGCCACAAAGAAATGGCTGTTCACTGTGGCACTACCCAGTAGCAATGGGATATCCTTTTTGAAAAATGCAGCCCCATATTTAGAGGTAAAAGACCTTTCAGACTACCATGACAGGAACATTATTAGATTTTTTTATATTTTAAATGGAAAACTTTGCATTTTTTTAACTTAGTAGTTATTTTATGACTTTGGGTATGCTAAAAAAACTCCCAAGTTCACTGCCATGAAGTTGATTCTGACTCATAGTGACCCTATAAGAAGAGGGCAGAACTGCCCTTGTGGGTTTCTGAGACACTGTCACTCTTCTGGGGAGTAGAAAACCTCCCCCAGGGAGCGTCTAGTGTATTCAAACTGCTGACCTTCCGGTTAGCACCCCAATGCCTAACTACTATGCCACCAGGGCTCTTTTTTCTGTGGGTGTAGGTGAAGTAATTGAAACTCTGAGCGAGTAAAATGATCTTTCTGAGGTCATACTACAACACAGTTCTGAAATCAGCACTAGAATTGCTTCTGGCACTGTGTTTAATCTGTTTGGCTCTGTGGTTTCAGGGTAAACTAAGTAGGAGCCCACTTCAGAACCCAAAAAGGAAATATCTATATTGGCAGGAGATAAGATTAAAATCTCCTGATTTTTGCTATATAAAGCAGAGAACAAAAATACAGAGTCTATACCTGCAGTACTGGGAAAGTACATAGTATTTCCAAAAAGGAAAAGTTTATTTCTCGTATGAAAATATAATGTTGCTTATGTTTCAAAGAAAACAAGAGGAATAGTTTGTTAGAGGCAAGCTGCTTTGAGCTATCGTATAGCATCTTTGGCGCTATGGCATTTTAGGGGGATTTGCCTGGCTTTGGCTTCAACACCGATAGGAAGGTGTTATGCTGTTAACCCAAAGTTCAGCAGTTCAAACCTATCAGCCACTCCTCAGAAGAAAGGTGAGGCTCTCTGCTCCTATAAAGATTTATTGTCTTGGAAACACAAAGAAGCATCAGTACATGCTGTTCTATAGGGTATGAGTCATATTTGATTCAATGGCAGTGTATTTGTTTTAGGCTTGTAAAATGCGCATTGTGCCAGAGTTAGAGACCTGGGTAACATCTCAGCTTGTTCCTTCAATGACCTCCAGCAAGTCCAAATTGCTTAACACCTTTTTAACCTCATTTGCTACCAGAACACAAAGGCAAGGTGGGACACGCACGGTGTAGGGGTTGTTTCTATCTCAGGTCACAAAGTGGCTGGTTTGATTAGTGCTGAGTGGAAGAAGATAGCATTTTGCACGCCACCTCCCTCTTGGGTTGTGGCAGAAAATGAAGAGCTGTCTGGAAATTCTAACTGCCAGTCAAAGTTGATGTTGAAGACCTGTGCCATCAGAGGAGTCTGTGTGTTTTGTGTTTACCTTGCAGAATTTGCCTTAAGAAATGGTGATAATAAACACGTAAAAAAGGGAGAAAATGAAGAGCTGAGAACCCGTTGTATTCCTTTCCTCGGGCTGCAGTAACCAAGAACCATACACTGGGTGACTTAATAGAACAGAAATTCATTCTCGCATAGCTCGGTAGGCTAGAAGTCCTAACATTGAAATGTTGTTGACCTTCCTCCAGGCTTAGGTTAGAATCTCCATCCTGGCTCTACCAGCCTCTGGTAGACGCTGACACTCCTTGCTTTGAAACATTTCTCCAGTCTCTGCCTGTAGTTTAATGGTCTCCTCTCCCTCCCTGAATGGCTGTTTCTTATAAGAACACCAGTCAGAGTGGATTGAGGGCCCACCCTCTTCCATTGTGACATCACCTTAGTAATTACATTCACAAATAAGGTCATGTCTTGAGGTCCCAGAAAAGACGTGAATTTGGAGTAGAGGAACATAATCTAACCCAGTAGAGTTGTTCTAACTTGCACGTGCTTGGCAAATCACATTTGAGAATGAAGATAATCAGAGTCACGATGCACAGTGAGTAAAAGGGTCGTCTTTCAGATCTGTTAGAAAATTATCAATTGTACATACCAGCCTGAATCATGTCTTCTGTAGTTTTTACAAGAGTCAAACTTTTATACTCTTAGTGAAAACCTTACTGGTTCTCAGAAAACTTTTGGCTTACCAATAATTTGTGAATTTTCTACTGTTCCTCTAATGGGGGTTGGTTGGATGGCCCTAGAATTTCTGGATTCCAAAGAGTTAGGTGAATGGATGATTGATACAAAACCATTATGGAAACCCTCTGTGTTGTGTCTGGGTGGTGTCTAGGAGCTCCTACCAGAGCCCGTCTGGTCAGATCACTAGCCTCGTACTGGGTTGGCTGGTGAAATTGACAGTTAAGTCAAAACCAACGGAAACTTTGCTGGAGACTTTGAGCTCGAACAGGACAATGAATCGATGTGCATTTTGATTGGCAAAAAAGGGAAAAATAATTTCACTACCCTCAGTTTATTTCCCTACGGTTCCCCCACTTAAGTCTTAGTTTTTATAAAATATTAAGAACCATGTGATTTCGCCAGAAGAAAAGCCATATTATAAAAGCAAGTACCCCAAACACCACTGCCATCAAGTCAATTCTGTCTCAGCGGGACCCTATAGGACAGAGTAGAACTTTGGGTTTCTGAGGCTAAGTCTTTCAGGAGCAGACAGCTTCATAGTTCTCCCTGCAGTGGCTGTGGGTTCAGACTACTAGTCTGGTGGTTAGCAGCTCACTGTGTAGCCCACTATGCTATGGCACCAGAATTCCTCAAAAGCAAGTACCAACCTACTGTTATTATTGAGTCTGTTGTGATTTGAGGCAACCCTATATAGACTTCTGAGGCTGTAAATCTTTACAGGAGTAGATTGCCTCTTTTTTCTCCTGCAGAGTAGCAGGTTCTACTCACCATCACCACCAGAGCTGCTTAAAAGGAAGTACACTATCCTAACATTTCCAACATATAAATTCAACTTGTTGCCATCAAGTCAATGCTGACTCATAGCAACCCCAACATATATTAGTTCTTAAAAGATGTTCTTCACTTCTGTAAATAAGTCTTTTACCATGTTCTATAACTGTACTTTCTTAGCTCCCTCCCAAACCAACTACTTTTCATGGTTTGGAAACTATGTATGTCACATGCATAAGTTTTGCACAGAATGATTTTTCTGGAGATTATTCTTTTTAACTAGTATGTCAGGTGTTGCAGAAGTTCTTATTATGTAAGGTTTTCCCCAGGATCGATTAATCAGCTGCCTCATTCTGCATTTTAAGATATGACTTCCAGGTGTAAAGGACAAAAGTGCACTTGTGATTCTGACGGCAGAGGGTGTTAGTTAGTGTGAGGATGCTTTGCTAGACTCTTCTTCCAGAATTGTCACTGGCCACGTGGACCCACTCGGTCTTCTCCTGCCGAGAGGTTGTTCACAGATGCTTTCATAACAGAAATTTCCATAAACCAGAAACCTTACCGCCTTCAAGTTGTTTCTGACTCGTAGCGACCTTATAGGACAGAGTAGAACTGTCCCTGTGGGTTTCCCAGACTGTAAATCTCTCAGAAAGCAGACAG